TGCTTTCTCACTTTCATCTCTCTCCCTGTCTCTTTCTATTTATCTTTGGTCAAATTAAAATAATAATAATAAATAATTAATTAAAATACATAATTAAAAAAAGATTTGCAATAAGAGAACAAGCCTAAAATCTTGAATTGATTCTTTTAAGTCAATAGCCATATTAGTGGAAAAGGCTGTCCTAAAAATGAGGACTCTTAGAACTAAGAAAAACAAAAGACAGGTGAAAGGATTGAGGATCTACCTGAGAGCGTCCAAGGGGACAAAATGAGGAAATCCTTGGTTATTACTACGAATAGCCCAGTGCATCAGTAAGTGCTGTGACCAGTAAAGGATAGAGGAATCAGGCTCTAATTTATCCTGTTTAGACATTTCTATATTGTAGTTACTCTTCCTAGTTAACTGATAGAGGACCAGGTTTAGGGAGATTACATGCCCCAAGAGGGTCTTCTTACTTTGAGCCAGGGATTTGAAATCTTCTAGCTTTATAGCAAAAAGAACAAAAGCAATGAATTTTCACTAGTTTCACATTTTGATTGAGGGACTTGATTCACATATGGATTAGGGAAGAAATTCATAGCCATAGTAATGAGGCCTGAGATACTGTGGAGAGTGAAGGAAGGATGAAAAAAATCCCAGAGAGAGGCTACCGCGTGGCCGGCTGGTTAATGTGGCTGGATCCCACATGGCTGACTGCATGGTTAGTGTCTCAGACCTAGTGGTTTGAAAAACACACTTCACACATGTGTGTACCCCAAATCCCAAAAGGTCAGAGAGATAACGGAGAAAGGATTGAGATGTGACCATTCTCCATGGGGGATGTTGTCTTACTTTCCCTCTCTCTCTCTGTGGTGAGCACACATGCCCTCTTGCAAAATGATAATTATAAATAATGCCATAGACAAATTGTGGATGAAGCTGAAAAAAACATACTAATGAACAAAAAAAGAAAAAAAGGAGAGATGCCAAAAGAGAAATAACTAGTTTAATAAATCAGAAGCTTAACACTATGAGTGTTGGAATAGTTTCCTGAATGAGAAATTAGAAACCCAGAGAATAAGGGATTCTCATACACAATGACCTAAGGGGGAAAGAGAGGTCTTTTTTCTTGTTCTTTGTTTCTTTTTTTTTCCTTCTCTCTTTCTTCCTTTTTTCTTTTTCTTTCTTTCTTCTTTCCTTTTCTCTCTTTCTTTTTTCTTTTTTTCTTTCTTTCTTCTTTTTTTGTTTTTTAGAGACAGAACCACACTACGTTGCCCAGGATGACCTTGGCTTGCAAACCTCTGGCATCTGCCTCCCGTGTAGCTGGGATCACAGATGTACACCACCACAACTGGTTTAAGAAAGCCTTTTTCGGGATCAACAGATGGCATAATGGCTACTTTGTTGGACTCCCACATGGTTGACTGCAGTTTGAGTCCTAGACCAGGCATGGCTTAAAAATCATGCCAGGTACGTGTGCGTGTGTGCCTAATATCCTGAGAGGAGAATGGAGGAGAAAGGGTTGAGGTGTGGCCATCACCCTTGGGGGGTGATTTCTCACTTTTCATCTCTCTGTCTCTTTCTTTCAGGGGAGTGCACATTGCCTATAGCAAAACTCTCTCTTTAAAAAAAAAAAAAAAAAGAAAACCTTTTTCTGAAGTTCATGGTGAACCCCCGTAAGAGTCAATCCTCAGGTACTTCTGTCATCAACACAGTACTGCCTGGGGTTCCTGGCCTTTTCACAGAAACTGTTTCATGACTCCTTACCATGGCCCAAAGAAACCACCCAGGGAAGAGCCCATCTTACAGAGAACAGTATGAAATTCAGAAGGATGGAGACTCGGTCAAGTTTATGCAGTTACTCAGGGGAATCACCTGCAGGTTTTGTGTCAGTAGCAATTATTCCACTATACTATATGGCTGTGTGGGCCTGGCAGGTCCGAGAGTAGCTAATAAGACAATAAAGTCCCAGAAAAATAATTAAGGAATGAATTAACTTCTCTGGAGAAGAAAGAAGCTAAAGGGAAAAATATTCACAAGAAGCATTGCATGTTTAAACGAGTCTTTTCTTTACGCTAATGGTAAGTTCTACATTTGTCCATTTAAAATATGTTACCCTAGCTTAGTGAACTGGGTGGGAACTGTAAAGTGTGTGTCTTGAGTGGTAGAAACAAGGTGCCAAAAGATAGACGGGATAAAGAAAGAAAGGGAGAGAAACCCTCTTTGTTGTGCCAGGGACTAGACTTCCCTAAATTTCTGGAAGAAAGAGAAAATGTGAGTAGGCCCTTACCATGCTGAACTGCAGACCCCAGCATCAGGACAGAGCTGTCTCCGGAGGGCAGCGAGAGATTGTAACTAATCTGGCTCAGCCTCACTGCACTTTCTTGCTTGCAGATTACATTTAATGCAGGGCAAAGCCAAATCTGTGCTTGGAATAGACCAGCACAAAAGACTAAGACACTAGACCATGTGACCACACACCCAAGCATCAGTTTTCAGGGCTCAGGAGAAGATGGGCTAGGCAGGTACATGAGAAGACATCATTTTGTTTTTGCAACCTTGGTCTATGTTGGGTAAAATCTCCTTTTGGAATGAAGAGAGAATTTCTTCATTTGCACTGGGCAATTGCTAGCTTGAATTTAGAGCTGAATTCAATGACATAGGCTCATTGAATGAGCTGTAATTCAGTTTCGGTGCATGGAGAAAATGGAAGCCATATCGAATTTTGAAGAAACATTGAGGAAATAAAATACTTTTCTGGGTAAAGGCCCATTAAAGATGGATGGAAGCAGAGAAAAATGAACATTTTCCTAGCCCTCCCCAAATGTATCAGTCTATTTGTGCATAATTTATCACCTTAGATGTTGGAACAAAACTTGATTGTATGTTGAAAGCAGGTAAGTAGAAAGTTATTTGAACTTAAGCAATACACAGTACCAAAGAGAAGAGAGTAGAGGGATTACATAGAAACACTCAAGAAAATAGCATGAAGAGGCTGGTGACTGGGAGAACATTCCGAATTGCCTTTCAGAAGGGGTTATATTGGGGCTTGATCCCATGGTCCTGTACGTAATGGTTTGGGAATATCAGCCAGGTGCTAACACTATCGCCAACGTAGAGAACCATCAATACACAGCGTTTCTTCTAATATCACTTCCTTTCAGTCTTTTGAGAAAAGTCAGTTAAATGCCATTGCTGTCACTAGCTCAGGAGGCCCCTTGAGATTCAAGGTCTCATGAAAATGTGCTAATTTTAACGCTGTTTATCAGAAGGATCTGGGGAAGGGAAGAGAGGGCCCTGCCGATTTTCTTCTATCATGAGAACTAGAGTATCTTGACTGAGGCTCAAAATTGGAGCAACACTTTCCTCTATGAATGCAAGAGAGATGCAGGGAGACGTGAGTGGGGAGATCCTGACAGGGTTCCAAGGCAGGAGAGATTTAGCATGAACCCGTGATTTTGACATGGCCCCCTTGGGGCATCCTCCATAATGCTGGGCAAATTGCTGGCAGATGCAGGACCCCGAAGACAGCACAGTGCAGTGAGGAAGCCCATCAGGTAAGAGTGCAGGTTCTTGAGTCAGACGTAGTTTTGAATCAGAACTTTGCTATTCCCTGGCTATGTGATTTCAGGAAAAATTGCTTTACTTCTCCAAAGTCTTTGTGTTCTTCGTGTTTTAAATAGATATAATAGTGTACCAATCTCATAGGACTCCTATAAGGATTAGAGAGATCGTCTGTGGACTTCCCACACTGCTGCCAGAACACTGTGAGAACTCAGTCAGTGGTAGCTCTTAGGGTTATTTTATTCCAAAGCCATATGCAGCCAAGTTCCATCATATGACAGAAAGGTGAGGCCAGCCCTTATAAGGCATGGCCTTCCAGACAGAGTAGGAAGCTTGCAATGTACAGCTCCTTGGAAGGCATTAGTCCACATCTAGTCCCCATCACACAGTCCTGGACCCCATTAACCTCCCAGCTCTGATATCCTACCTTGACTCAAACAATCTGATCGACACAGTAACTGGTCCCATGTGTGGTGGGGTCGGGATTTTTGCTTGAGAGTTTGAGTTAAACAGGTCTGAGTCATACTACTCTTTGGTTCCGTAGCCTCTGGTTATGCACGTTTCATGTCCTCTTGGCTTCAGTTTTCTCCAGTGTCCAAGACCAAAGAGTGGCAGCAGAAAGAAATGGCATTGGCTGCCATCCATCAGCCTCCACATCCCTTCTTCTCCAAGGCTGAAAGGGTGTCAGGTGGGATTTGTTGAGATCTTGGATTATTCTGCAGGAGGCTTCGCAGTGCCTCAGGTTTTGAACATCATGGCAAGAAGTAAGCAATGAAGCTGGCAAGAGCAAATGTAATACCCTGAAAGGTGGGCAGGTGAGTGTCACTGAACAGGACTAGGGAGAAGGGAACAAAACGGAGAGAGAGAGTAAAGGGGGAAGAGAGAAATGAAGTTCTGAAAGTAGAGCAGGATACCAAAGAGAAATGAAGCTTTCCGACGCTGATGAAGCTTAAACAGTCAATTGGTGATCATCATCATAATAACAGTATGGAAAGAGGAATGAGCAATTGAAAATAAGTGTGTGGGGGAGTGAGAAGGTAAAAAAACACCCTCATAAGTCCTTTGGGAGAATGACATGATCTTCCTCTTGTATTCATAGTTACAAAAGAAAGGAAAAAGCTGGGAGAGAAATAAAGGGGATTGAAGACTGCACTACAATCTTAAAGGCCCTTTCCAATGCGAATAATCTCTGCATTTACAAGTCACATGTATGTTTTTAAGATTCCTTATTGGGTTAAGAGATGTCACTGTGGTTTGTGTAACTTCCACGAAAGTCACTTTCTGATGGATGACATGAATGTTTGATTTTCACAGTTTTCCAAAAGTCAGGATCATAATGCCTTTCAAATTTCTATGCATGATCCTTTTAGAAAACAAACACAAAAACAAAGAAACAAAGAAAACGTGACCAGTCCCTGGGTGTGCTCTGGGACTTAATTTCCGTTTTGGGAACTAGTCTAGAACCCGGTCCTAGAACTCTGGGCCATTCCTTTGGGTGATTCCTCTGTTTGCTCGTTGTTAAACTCTACAATGTCTGTTTCCTTGGTGTCCAGGTTTTCCATTAAATACAGTATATCCGGTGAGACGCGTGAGCCGGCTACAAAGCTGATTCCACTGGTCTCAGAGGATGCTTCTGTGTCAATTAAAAGAGCCGGCTCAGAGCTCACAGGATCAGGACTTAGGTTGCCTGTGGAGGTGTGGCTGGGCTCCAGGAACTCAGGGAGGCTCCACCTTTTGGGGAACTCATTATTATCAAAAGGGTCTTCCTCAAACTTCGGTATGTTCCTCTCAGCGTTGGCTGAAATAGTCTGGGGGCTGGAGCTCCTAGGTGGAGTTCCCTCCTTTGAGGGGGACAGGATCAGTTCCACCATGTCCTCCTGCTGCTCGGTCCTGATTGGCTGAACCCCCGTAAAGTCAGAGCTCAATATGGAGCTGGTGGAGTCGTGGTGGTGGCCATCTGACGTGGGCACTGGTGCTTCGGCCGCTGTGATCAATACCTCGGGGACCTGAGGCATTTTGATGGGGGAAGCCCTTACACTGGACTGTGGGGTCAGGCTCTGTAAAGTGCTTGTCCGGCTGGTCTCCCTGAGTGTGGACAGTTCTCCCATGCTGGAAAATAGCTTGGGGCTCCCTTCCAGGGGGTGGGATTGCTTCTGCGTGAGTGAGGCTCTGTGAGGTTTCCGTGAAGGCACTTCCAACAGATCTTTAGTTGGGCTGAGGTCAGCTCTGGGGAACAACATGGAGCTGTCACTGGTCTGCCGCCCAAAACTTCTCCTCCTGGGGCTGGTGGGGTGTTCATGGGTACTCAGGAACCGCTTGACTCTTCTTATCACAGAATGCCGATGGCCATGCTTCTCATAATCCCACAGCCACTCCTCACCAGGAAAGTTGGACTCAGACAGCCTGAAACACAGGATGACAAAACATAGCACACCATCAGGTACAAACTGTGGGGAGGAGATGCAAAGTTAAGAGATAAGTTTGGGGCCAGCAGGCGGTGTGGTGGTTAAAGCAGCTAGATCCCACATGGCCACCTCTGTGGTTTGAGTCCTGGGCCCGGAGGCTTGAGAAACACCCAGTGCATGTGCATATATTCCCAAGATCCTAAGAGAGAACTGAGGAAAAGGGTACGGTGTAGCCATTCCCTTTATGGCTCTCCATGTCCTTTCTCTTTCTCTGGCAAGCACAGGTGTCCTATAGGAAAAACTAAAACAAAACAAAAAAGCTAAAAAAAAAGAGACAAGTTTGATCTTTCCACATTTCAGATTTAAAATGGAGTAGGGGGACTTTAACTTGAGACAGACAGGCAGAGATCAAACCTTTTGGTCTCAGGACCCTTTTAAACCCTTAAAAATTGTTGAGTTTACAAAAGAAATTTGTTTATGTGAGTTATAGCCATTGATATTTATTGTATTAGAAACTATTACAGAGGAATGTCAAAAATACAAGAATGCACAATCTCATGTCACATTGATTTTCGAAAATCTTTTTTTTTCTCTCCTATTGGGCATATGTACTAGCCAGAGAGAGAAAAACAGGAGAAAGGACTCCCTGTGGGGAATGGCTACACAACAATCCCTTCTCCATTTCTTTCTCCTTTTGGGATTTTGGGCACGCATACACACACACCCAGTGTATTTCTCAAGCTGCTGGGTCTGGGACTCAAACTGTGTAGTTAGCCACGTGGGACTCAGCTGCCTTAACCACCAGGCCATAGTGCTGACCCAATTGTTTTTGCTTTGTTTATTCTTTTTAGGGGGTTTTGCCATAGGGCACATGTGCTCCCAGAGAGAGACTGTGAGAGAGAAAGAAAGAAATCACCCCCCAGAGGGAATGGTTATTCCACAATCCCCTATCCTTTATTCTCCTCCTGGGATCTTGGGCACACACACACACACACACACACACACACACCTGGTGTGAGTTTCAAGTCTGGGACTCTAACTGCAGTTGGCCATGTGGGAGTCCAGCAATGGAACTACTATGCCATCTGCTGGACCACCCCCCCCTTCCTTAAAAAAGAATTATTTTATTTAACTTTATTTATTATTATTATCATTATTATTTTCCAGTTTGATCAGAGAGAGACAGAGAGAGAGAGAGAGAGGAAGTGAGAAAGCAAGCCACTAGGTCTGAGACTTGAACCGTGGTTGGCCATGTGGGAGTCCGGCGCCACTTGCCAGCCCCGACCACCCCTTTTTTAAAAAAAATATTTAATTGCATTTGTTATTATTGTGTGTGTGTGTGTGTTTTTTTTTTCAGAGAGAGAGAGAGGAGAAATAGAGAGAAAGGGAAAGTGAGAGAGCAAGCCACAAGGTCTGAGACTCTAACCATGGTTGGCCATGTGGGAATCCAGTGCCCTTAACCACCATGCCACCTGCCAGCTCCCCCCCCCATTTAAAAAAGTTATTTAATTCCATTTGTTATTATAATTTTTAAAAATGTGATGAGAGAGAGAGAAAGAGAGAAGAGAGAGAAAGGGAAAGTGAGAAAGCAAGCTGCCAGGTGGTCCAGGACTCGAACCATGGTCAGCCATGTGGGAATCCAGTGCCTTTAACCACCACACCACCTGCCAGTGACCCCACCTTTTTTCAAAATAAATTTTATTTTATATATTTGAAGTTTACAACATGATGTTATGGTATACATATAGATCCACATAGATAGTACTCCATTGTTTTTTGTTTTTTGGTTTTTTTTTTTTGGAGAGGTTTTTACTATAGGGTGCATGCGCTCGCCAGACAGACAGAGAGAGACATAGAGACAGAAAGCGAGAAATCACCCCCCAGGGGGGATGGTCACGCCACAGTCCCTTCTCCATTCTCCTCTCGGGATCTTGGGCACACACGCACACGCGCCCGGTGTGAGTTTTAAGCCACTGGGTCTGGGACGCGAACCGCGGTTGACTACGTGGGAGTCCAGCGACATAGCCATTACGTTAACTGCTGGTTCCCGATAGTACTCCATTGTTAAATGATGACTTCATCACATACCTTGTAGCTCCTAGAAAATTCCATCATACACTCATGAAAGGAGAATGAAAAAGGCAAGTAATGCTAGTGTTATTTTTAAATAAGTTTGAAATTAAGGACTCCATAAAGGGTTTTGGGAATCCCCAGCTTTCCCTGAACTGTACTTTGAGAATCATTGATCTAGAGACCTGGACATTAAAAACAAACAAACAAACAAAAAAGTGTATACATACGTATATATATATATATATAAAATATACACACTTGTGCACACACACACACGTGTGTGTATAGAATGTATTTTTTTTCCCTTATATTGAATCACTGGGAAAGTCATGACGTGTTTTTCTATGCAAAAATGCGTCATAACTTTTCCAATAGTTAAACTAAGGTCATGTTTTCCCAGAATCCATTCAACCTTCTTCCCTATGACAATGGCTCATAATAAATTAAAGATAGTGCAAGGAACATTAACATTCATGGACTATGGAAGAAGACTGATCTGAAGGGAGAAGTCTCAGCAGAAAAATCTTCATTTTTAGTCAATGAAATCAATATTTCACAGCTCAAGTTCCATAGCCATCTCTATCTGAAATTTTCTCCTTCAAGGCTGAAATAACACTAAGAGGTGAGATAATAATGAGAAACTTGTTTGGTATTAAGATCTACTCCTGCTTCAGATCACATGGCTATTCTTCTTACATCTCTGGGGACTCACATGAGATACAAAGAACTATCAATACTTAAAGCCTTGCCCTTCAACTGCCAATGCTCACTCTGGTTCTGGGAGCAGCAGTAATCAGGCCATCCCGGGGAAATGTTGGTACTGACATCCATGGTGATGAGACGCTACAACTCTGCGGGGTGCACTTCATATGGGATAAGGGAAAAGTAGAGACTGCATCATGTTGGTGTAACCTGAAAGGGCAAAGTGAGCGCTCAAAGAAAACGTCCTGCCTCATGTTTATGAATAAAAGATGGATGACTGAGATGATTAACTGGCTAAATGTCCCAGGATGGCATTCGATTACAACTTTGTGCTATTCCAAAGCCCTAGCAGTGCCCTGGGCAATCAGATAGGCTTCTGACCCACCCTCTGCTGTGCAAAGCTCAGGTTCTGTTACATTGACTGGGGAAATGCAGACTCATGCTTCAGCGGCCTGAGTGACCCCGCTCATTGGGTTTCATTAGGTCAGATCTCCAGGTCCACTCCTGAGGAGTCCATTGAGTTGGGGAGTACACTACAGGCACGACAAGTGCAGTTGGTCTCTAAGACTGCCATCCTGAATGTGCTCTGGGGATCAAGGTCCAGCTGGCACTCTCTCTCAATGGGACAGGGTCTGTCCTCCCTGTGGGGTCTTAACGATTTATTTGGGATTTGTTTCCCTAACTGCTTCTAAAGCACACGACCTTGTAAGAATGACACAATCTTCTAGAAAAAGAAGCTCGTATGATTATTATTCAAAATTTTGTGACTCAACAGGAAACGACTTTCAAACTATGGACTTTCAACTGTGGAAAAAGAATAAGCCCTTGGTCAGAGATTGGGGAAAAACTGGCAAGTTACCAAGGGCAAACTGCAAAAAGGCTAGTGCTCTTACCAACAGTCTACTAATTCACTGACCCACGTTGGGTAGGTCTGCCAAGAAGACTGTATTATACCTTCCTACCTCTCAAGACTGTGGTGTGGAGGCATGTGTTTTATCTGCTTATTCACTTGACTAAATTGACTGAGTATCTATCATGAACCTGATAACCTATCACATAAAAAGAGGGAGAAGGCAGGGCCAGTGGGTTAGCATGGTGGTTAAGGTAGCTGGATTCCCACATGGCCAATGTGCTTTGAGTCCTGGACTCAGTAGCTTGAAAATCACACCAAGTGTGTGTGTGTACATTCTCAAAATTCTGAGAGGATAACAGAGGAGAAGGGACTGTGGCATGGCACCCCCTGGGGGGTGATTTCTCACTTTCACTATCTCTCTCCTTTCTAGCAAGTACATGTACCCTGCAACAAAAACCTATTAAAAATAAAGGAGGGAAAAGGCATGAATAGTTACATCTACATTTGGGGCAAATTACGTTTTGAGGTGGCCTTGAACACTGGATGAGAACTGGATAGACAGAAAAGAGATAGAGCATTCCAGGTGAAAAAAACCACTTGAGTAAGTAAGGCAACAAGAATGTTCAAGATGTTTATAAGGAGAGGGAAATACTTGAACTTCTGTGAAATACACATGATGGTGTCAGGCGTCGGCTGGAAAAATAGCCTTGAATTGTGTTATGAAGAATCATATACTGGGGGGAACCAGCAGTTAGCGTAATGGCTATGTCACTGGACTCCTACGTAGTCGACTGTGGTTCACGTCCCAGACTCGGTGGCTTAAAACTCACGCCGGGCGCGTGTGCGTGCATGCCCAAGATCCCGAGAGGAGAATGGAGGAGAAGGGATTGCGGCGTGACCATCCCCCCTGGGGGGTGATTTCTCGCTTTCTTTCTCTATGTCTCTCTCTGTCTGTCTGGCAAGCGCACGCGCCCTATAGTAAAAAACCTCTCGAAGAAAAAAAAAAAAGAATCATATACTGGGTTGAAGGATTTGGATTTTATCATGGAGGTAGAGCTATGGATTGTCTCTTTTTTTTCCCTTAATTGTCAGAGGTCAGTCATATGTACTCACCACAGAGAGATAGAGAGACAGAGAGAGGGAGAGAGAGAAAGCATGCCTCAATAGGGTGTGTTTATGCAGCAATCCCCTCTTCCATCTTGCTGCCCTGTTGGGATTTTGGGCACTCATGCACACTTACCTGGGGTGTTTTTCAGTCCTCTGGGGTTGGGATTTGAACTATGGTTGATCATGTGGGATCTGGCTTCCTTAACCACCACACGATGGGTGGTGAAAACAGGGTGGCCCTATGGATTGTTTTTGAGAATGGA